GGCTCAAGTGGTAGAGCGCTAGCCTTGAGCTGAAGAGCTGAGGGACAGCGCCCAGGCCCAGAGTTCAGGCCCCACGACCGGACCCAAAAAAAACCCAATAACAACAAAAAAAAGAAAATTGTGTGATGACCTCCCCCAAATCACTGACAGTTTCATGCAAATAGAAATTAGCTTGATCATCTTACCAGTGGTCTATATCTAAATATTTGGGTGTATAGACCTATGGATATATCAACATAATGTGCACATGTATAATTATCCATATATGTATGTGAACACAAAACTTTCAGATTTTGAAAAGTTGAGTCTTCTTTTTGATGCTATATACAAATAAAGTTTCATGTCTATCTCTCTGACCCCCACAGTTCCAGAAGTGCCTCCTTCTGAAGTCAGCGGAGGAGGTGGCAGCCGGTCAGAACTAGTGATAACCTGGGATGTAAGTGTCTGGGCAGCATCTTCCTCATGGGGTATTACTCCTGTTTCAGTGCTCAGAGCCTTCTGGGTGGTAATGGTGCTGTTACTGGTGATGGTACTAGAGGTACTAGTGGTGGTAATGGTGTATTACTAGTCATACTGGTTATGCTGGTGGCAACACTGGTACTAGTGGTGGCAGTGAATGCTGGTGGGCTCTGCTGGTACTGGTGGAACTGGTATCTCATGTTACTGTTGGCACTGGCGGTATTGATCATTCAAACGATGCTGGTAGTGGTGGCCTTCACAGTGTCACTGGTAACACTGTTGGCACTGATCCTGGTTATGGTGGTTTGGGTGGTACAGGCTCTGGTGCTGTTGCTGATAGTGGTGGTACTGTCAGTACTGGCACTGGCACTAACAATGGTGCTGGTGGCCTAGGTATTAGTGGTAGTACTGGTGGGTGGTGTGGAATGGGCTGGTGGTGCCTGCGATATTGGTACCAGTTTTCGTGGTGTCATTGCTGCTGGTGTTGTGGTACAGCTGTTGGTCATATGGCTGGCAAAATAGGTGCTGCTAGTTCTAGTGATTCCAAAAATGCTGCTGATGGCGATGTTGGTTGGGCCAGTGCCTGTAGCACTGGTACTTGTAGTTATAATCTTGGTTTTGGTAGTATTATTAGTGGCTGCAGTATGTATGCCCATGATGCTGGTGGTGTTGCTGCTGCTTTGGCTGCAGTGGGCATTGTTCATATTTTTGAATACTCACTCTTCCAACCATTTGTATTTTCCTCATTCTATTCCTAAGACACAGGGATAATAAGGTGCTTAGATTCTCCTGGCTGGCTAACATAGCAACAGAGTCAACTAGTGGCTGTTTTCTGTGACTTCAGAGTTTGTCTGAAGGTGTTTATTCCATGGGTGAAAGTGCCACAGTCCAGAAGATTTGAATCTCTGTTTCTGTTCTGGTCTTTGGCCTTTGCTTTATGCTACAGTTTAGGAAAATACAATCATTATGCTTAAAGTCTTAGGGTTTTATGGTGGAGGGCGAGCTTTTCTGGAATTTGAACTCAATTTCATATTTTCTAGGCATGCACTTTACTACTTAAGTCATGCCTTCAGCCTAATGTGTTTGAAGTTAAAAGATAGGTATATTAAAAATCAATCTGCATCACTTGAAGATGTTGATAAATAAAGTCATGATCTCATGATGGAAGTTCTCCCAGGACCACATACAACTTTGTATCTTACTCTCCTTGTTTCCTTTACATCTTTGAATTTTGACATCTTATCAGGTTGTAATTTCTCTCCAGAAAGTCATTAGAGACTTGACCACTTTTATTTGACTTAAGATATTAAATATGTTCTCTTGAAAGTTTATCTATTTAGAAATCCTAACTTGGGCCATAAGATGCGTTAGATGTATGACTAATCAGAGAAAATGGATCTGGATGACGGGTGCGTGACTGATACCTTCCTGTTTAAGAGAAGCTGACTTCAGTGTCCCACTGGTAGTTTCTACCTCATCTTTCTCCTCCTCCTCCTCAGCCTCCTCTTCCTTCTTTTCCTCCTCTTCTTCTTCTTTTTCATTTTCCTTCTCTACACTTTTTTTGAAGTGTTTCATACATGCTAGGCAAATAAGTACTCAATCCGTAAAGCTATAACCCTGGCCCATTTTTCTTTCTCCTTTTTTACAAAACAACTACTTATACTTAGCACAATGTAGATTATTACCAGATGACTCTATTCATTTTTGCCTTGCTATTAAGTGTAAGGGTGATTTATCCTGTCTTTCTTTCATAGCCAGTCCCTGAAGAACTCCAGAATGGTGAAGGTTTTGGCTATGTCGTTGCTTTCCGCCCCCTTGGGGTTACCAATTGGATCCAGACAGTGGTGACATCCCCTGATACCCCAAGATATGTCTTTAGGAATGAAAGCATCATACCGTTTTCGCCATATGAAGTGAAAGTGGGTGTTTATAATAACGAAGGTGAAGGACCTTTTAGCCCTGTAATGACAGTGTTTTCTGCGGAAGAAGGTACGGAGCACAATTTGATGAGTGTGAGTCCCCACTTCCCCAGTTGTGCTTGAAACAATGCCTTGGAGGTTCTTTGTGACTTCAGATAGGTTTTTCAAAAGAACAATCATCAGAGCTGAAAGAGTCTCACTGGAGGTCATGAGGAACACTTGTAAGTGGCTGGATTCCAGCAGTAGGGAGCACTGTCTCCCATCATCTTTCCACCATGCTCCTTGGAACTGCCCTAGGCTGGGCCTTTATAGTAGTTCTGGTAAGCTCAGTAAAGGACATTAGGATGAGAGTAGGCCCAAGAATGTGATATTCAGAGATGTGGAGCATGAAGCATTGAAGAATGTGTTACTACAGGTTGATGTATACATACACTTTATTCTGTAAGCCATTCCAGTCCTCTGCTTTCTTTTACACCTGCTCCTGATATTGGCATCCATGTTCTCTCTTAAGACCTCTTTATAAAATAATAACAAACTTGGGGGTAATCATACAAAACTGCCATGTTATGGACTTACAATCACTAGATAAATAATAGGCTCTCTCCTATAGTTCTACAAAATAGAAATGACAGGAGCTAATGTATTGAATGTTTACCTTTGGGCAGTCATTAAAGGAATTTGAATTTTCAAATGCATATCATAGGTATTATTGTAGATCATTATTCCCCATGTGCAAATAAGAAAATGAAAACAAAAAAATAATGGAAAGATGACTTGTGTTTCTTAATAAGTGGTAGAAACTGTCTTTTAACCAATATGGCATCCCATGTCCATTGTTCAGGCATGGAAATAAATTGGAAAAAGTTAACACTTTCGTCATTCCTCAAATATAATGAGTAGGGTAGTTTTTTGTAGCACCTTACCCCTAATTTATTACTTTCTGAGATGGATAAGAATAGTTACTGTACAAATCTCTGTAAACAGAAAAGCTATATATGCTTAGCAAAGACTCATTTCCAGAAACTATTAGGAATTGAAAGACCAGGTAAGGAACCTGGGTTTGTGAGTTAATGGCAGATAATTAGGATTTTAGGCATTTTCTACCAGTACATACAGGACCCCAAGGCTGGCAGCAAGAAGGAAGGGACAGCTACATTCTTTTAACCCATTCTTTTTGTCCCTCACTTTCCCTCCTGTTACCATGCTTGCTTCCACTAATGAGTTAGTCAAAAGTCTTTTCAAACCTCAGAAGTAAATTCAGCTTGCCTAAGAAAAAAAGGGCCAACCTACTGAAAATATGTTAAGGTACCTCAGTGAAGAAAAGAAAGTTTTAAAAAGCAAACCTCATGAGGAACGCTAATCAGAGAAGCTCTGGGTATCCAGACAATGATCAGCTTCTCTGTAATGCCCGTACTGGATTGATTGGCCACAAATACTTTTCATCTCTCAAACCAAGATTCAGAGTCTCAGTAGAGAAAATTTGCTAGCCTCATCTTTAAACTCAGAGACGATATCAGAATCAGTGAGCCATGGCTTTTGGACGCAAGCTTAGTTAACCCAGAAATAGACAATAAGAAAGGAAAGATTCCTGCTCAGAACTGTGCCCTTGGAGGGAAGGGTCACCTTGAGCCCTATGAAATCCCAAGAGTATTTATCACTGAGGGGATGTGTTTAAGTGTAACAACATGGGAATGCATTCCTTCTCCATCTCCTTCAAAAGAGGCTGCCATCCATGGAATTTAAATTTGTCCCTTACATGCTTGAGTGCTATGAGTACATGAACTTTACATTGGTCATAAAGAAAATGATAAGCTACTTTTGTGAGCCTAGGTATGTCCAAGTATTTAGCTTGGGTGGAGGCATGGGTAGTAAAGTTAGGAGGGAGAAAACAAAGGGAAGGAAGGGAAGATGTCAAGAAAACAAGTACAATGGAGGGAGAGCAGGTTGCCATGACTACTAAAGAAGGAAGACTTTATGGCTGTGATGCCTTGTCTTCCCAGTCTACCTTTCAAGCCATTAGTGCATGTGTTTGATTATTTTTATGGAGAAACTATGAATTTTACTTACATGTTAAAAAATACATTTTTTTAAAATGCACTTTAAAAAGTGTATTTTTTGCTTAATAACCAAAAATTATCACTGTATGTTGATTTGTTTCTAATCAGAGCCTACAGTAGCCCCATCTCAGGTATTTGCCCAGAGCCTGTCTTCCTCAGAAATTGAAGTGTCTTGGAATGCCATTCCCTGGAAGTTGAGCAATGGACATTTACTTGGCTATGAGGTAATTTCTTTTGGAATTTACATGTGTGTGTGTGTGTGTGTGTGTGTTACCAATTGTGTGAAGTCTTTTCATGCCTGATATGCACAATTTCAGTAGGAAGAGATGCATATTTTGGCTTGTGGTTTTAACGGTTATCTGTCCATGATCGGTTGGCTCCGTGACTTGCCTGCGGCAGGACAGAAGCATCATGAAGGAAGGTCATGATGGAGGAAAGCTGCTCACCTTCTGTCAGCCAAAAATCATAAAGGAGTGCTAGGAAAGGGCCAGGACCAGTATCAACTTATTCATGTCTCCCTGGTAAATATTCTGAAGCAGATACTCCATTCTAAGCTTTTAAGGGAGCTTGTAAAAAGACTCTTCGAAAAGTTGCCTACAACTTACTTCCCTTCCCAGGTGTATTTGTCTCAGCAAAGAGAGAGGTAAAAGGGAGAAATGTTACTGAGGAAGGAACAGAAGAAAAAATAATGTAGATGACCTGGAAGAAATGAAGTACTGGGGTTTACAATATTTCCTGGAGCCCCTGTCTGCTACAAGCCATGCTCAGGCTGATGACAAGACCATAGAAATGATGAACTGCTTTTCCTACACCAAACATTGTCTATACATTCACTAGGAATTGCCCGAAACTGTTAGAAATGAAGACATCAAATCAAATATAAGTCAAGATTATGAAGAAGTAGTCTTAGAAGTGCCTGAGGTTTCTTTGTCCCTTTAACTGAGTGGGATATAGGCTTCAATGTGCTATTTAATTAATTGAAAGTCCTTTGTACAACTATTTCAAAGATAATTGAAAAATACCCATACAGTGTAAACACCTTTACCCTTTTTGAGCCATATGGCAGGATCTAATTTGTGACCTGATTCAACCTTGTGAAATAGTTAAGAAAAATAAATGAACAAAGTAATTAGTTTACTTGTGGGCTGGCAAGTCTCATACAAGAGTTCACAGTGGCTGTTAGGTGTTAGAAAACATGGGGCATGTAGCATTTATGAGTATATCAACTTAAGCAAATAAGGAGTCATTCAACTAATAATAGTCTGTTTGGAAGTAGAATTTTGCTACTGTTAGTCATGTCAGTAAACAGTGTTTGACTAAAAAAGAGAAAACTTCAGAACCCTGTAGGAGCCATTGCAGGGTCTAGTTTAGTTCCCCTCAGTTTAGATCTAGAGGACCCAACATTCATATCCCCTAGGATAAGACTGACAAGAGACAGAAACCCTTGTCTCCTTTTTTCAATGATATTCCCCAGGTGCCCAGAGCAGAATATGGTATATGTGGAATGCATCCATGAACCTAAGTGTGGATCAAATCCATGAGGTTCTCGCTTTGCTGTCTCAGAGCTGTATGTCCTTGAGCAATCTACTAAAGCTCTCCAAGGCTCAGTTAAAACAAGGGTAACAGTAACTCACAGCCTCACTTGAGAATTAAATGAGATAAAGCAGCCTTTGTTAAAGTAGCCCAAAGAGACTTGCAGCTTCCACTTTGTCTGTTTTGTATATTGGGCATTGGGGTAAGATTTCACTGGAAGGAAAAAAAATTAAGACAAAAGAGTAAAAACAACACAATCCCAGTGTGTGAAGTGCCTCTCTCTGTTGGGGTATGGAGAATAAAATGAAAGGGATTTTTCTTAATGTTATTCTACAGATTGAAATGCAGTGCATCTTTCCTATAGATGTAGAAAGTAGTGAACAGGATGTCCAAATGTATTGAAGAGAAACAGTGATTAAAAATGTCTTCTCCCAATGCTCAATATGTATGACAGAGAAAACAAGCTAAGAGAAAGATCGACTAATTGGGAAAAGCTTAAAAAGTAATTTGTGTAATTCCACCAAGATAAAAAAAATAATGTCTTTTCTTAGTTTCAGCAAATGATTTAAAAATTAACCTAGAAAAATAAATGGCTTAGCAGAGTATTTAATTATCAGTCATGTGGCTAAATTTTCGGGTTGCAGTTCCCCCAAATCGGCTTTAAAATCATTAATAGCTTCTGCCTTTCCCTCATCTCGGTGAAGGTTGATCAGGTACATGTGGCATGCTGAGCACATATCATCATTAGCATCTAGACTAATTTTCTTTCTGATTTGACCAAGCAGTAGTTGAGAAGCTCATTTCCCTGGGCTCCAATTTATTTCATCTGCTAAGCTGTTCTCCTCAGCCTCAGATCTATTCTGGTGCCCTTTTGGGTAGAAATAAGAGAAGCAGACATGATAAAGAGGAACAAAAAGCCTTTAAGCCCATGGACAATGGGGCCTGAGGAAAGCGACACAGTCCTTGAATACTATATACACTGCCAATTTCTTTAAAGTCATTTTGTGTCTTAAAAAAATCAGCTGTAATTTCATGGATTTCTATTGTATGATCTTATTGAAGAAGAAGAGAGAAGTCCAAGGGCTACCAACAAAAAGAAATGATAAGGGAATGGAATGCTGATTGCTCATTAGGTCATTTGATCAGTAGGTGATATATACAGGCATTGAAATATCACCCATACATATGTTCAGTTAATCTATGTTAATAACAAAAATATAAAGGAAGAAAGAATAAACATTGGAGAAAAGACTATGGGAAGTGATTGGAAAAAGCCAGCTCTTATAAAAAACAAAAACACAGAGTAGCATATTTGAGAAGAACCTAATGAGTTTTTCTGTAAGTTTGGCAGAGGAACATAACCAAGGAACAGAACATAGAGTCTTCACTGGAATTCCTGGGTGCCTCCTGTTCCAAACAGCTGTACAGAATGTGTTTCCTTCCTAATATTTTCACTAGAATGAATACAAGATGTCAAATATTTGAATACATTTTTATTATATGAAAATTCCACACATGCCTTTTGTCTTACTCCCAGCTATGCAGCAAAGAATTCACTCTAGCAGGAGTTAAATAGACATAAGGAAAACTGGATGTACCCATTGAGATATAGCTGCATATGCAAAAATGCATCCACATGACTGAAATACAGAGCTTTGGAGTGTGTAGAAGGGCTGTTTGTACTGGAGAGAGACATTTCAATGAGACTTCACATGGGTGGACCAAGGAGACTACACTGTACAGCCTTGGCAGTAGAGATAACCCTGTGGTGTAGGGATAACCCTGGAAGTGTTATTTTTACTTAGCTAATCCTATTAACCCACATTTCAGCATTGAGAGATGTAGAGGAAGAAACATCCCAGTTCTACTATACTCCATCTTCCCATGACTGCCTCCTATTGCGTAACCCCAACAAGGGGTCAAAAGTGAATGAATCAGATTCATTCAGGCAGTTCTCAGAGCTGAGAGCAGTAACCAAGGATAGAGGACAGTTCTGGGCTTATCTTTCTAAAATACCTTCCCTGATTGTTTTTTGCATGTCATCTTTTATTTTATTATGTCCAGTCTAAAAGCTAATAAATACTCACCTCTCTGAAAACATGTATGTATGCCTATAACCTTTTTTGTCTATTAAGAGAGTATTTTGGATTTGATATTCATCCTTTAACAGCTAAAGAAAGTTAACAGTATTCAATATAGTGTTTTTATAAACTGCATATTACATTTAAATTAAGTGAAATCTCTGTTTCAGCAATATTTAGGGCTCTTCATACCAGGACCATTCATTTTTAAAATAAGAAAATTACTTGCAGAAAAAGTGATAACATTCTTAATCTTGGCCTTCTCCAAGTTTGTTTTTGCTCACTTACCCAGATAAAATATATTGACTTGTGAAATAATTTCATGATTCAGAAAAAAATTGCATTATCTCATCAGGAAATTGAAGAACCAGTGTTTGATAGATGCATAGAATGATAGGAATTACACACCTAGCTCGGTGACCCTCTGGGATGAAGAGCGTGGTAGTTTTTGACTGGGTTTATTCAAGTCATTGCATGATCCAATAATATCAAATGTTTAGAGCTTCCCCCTCATCTGTTGGATATTTCATGGGTAGTAAAGTTTATTTTACAAATAAGGCACAGAAAGCAATTAAGAACAATAACTAATAGAACAATTTGGACAGTGTGCTGAGAAAATTCACGTGAATATGGTCTCCTCCCAAAATGCATCTTACTATTCTGTACTTATTCTGCTTAACCATGATCAATTACCAGAGTCACCTAAGAGCCACTGACTGATGCAGCAGAAAGTGAAACCTCTTCAAAAGGGGGGAAATGCTACTGTATGTATAGTATTCGTTGTTTAGCTCTGGCTGCAGAGTTAGGCGTCTTCCTCCACCCCTTAACATCCTGTCTCCCCCTGTTTCTTGTGCCTAGAAATTCAGACACTTCCCTGCCCAGATCACATTTACCCTAGAAAACTCAGGCACAGTGGCTTATTGGCTCTCTCAGATATCCACTATGCATGATACAATACTGGAGTTTTAACCCAGGGCCTTTTTATTTACTAGACTTGTGCTCTACCACTTGAACCATGCTTCCAGCCCTGGTTTTTATTGCTTAAGAAGAAATGGAATCTTACAGGCTTTTCTGCTGTGGCTCAAACACAGTCCTCCAGTTCTCAGCTGACCGAGTAGCTAGGATTATATTTGTGAGCCACTGGTACAAGACTCTACAATTCTGTTTTAAGCCCCCCACCCCCACCCCTGCTTTGAAGTGGTTTTAACATTTTAATTTTTCCAGCACTAACTCAGAGTAGGTTTATTACACACTAGTGTCTGTGTTTCTTTAGTTCTGCAAGATTATCCTCCATTTTCCTTTTCAGTGTTGTTCTGCAAGCACTCTAGTTGAAGCTTTTTATTTTCAGTGTCATTTAACTTTGCTCTCATAACGTCTGATATTTCCTTTCTCTGTTGTGTGTTCTGGCCTAATTAATTTGACTTTCCATCATTAGTCTTCAGCTTAATTCTTAGCAGTGATTTTTATTGTTTTAAATAATTATTTCAAGTCTAAGACTGGTTGTTATTTCTCAGATCTGCCTGGTCTTATCTCCTATTCTTGTATATTGGATTCAGTCCCATTTCAAAGTAAACTTTTGAAATTTCAAATATAATAACTTCTAACTCTATTTTATAGCAATGAATTGTAGCTAGTCTCCCACTGGTCAAGTCCTCTGTCTTTCTTGTTATTGGAGCTCTTTGTGTGCTTTGTATTATTTCTATCCATGTCATTTGTGGATGTCACCTTCACATTCTGGCAACTTTATATTAACTCTTCTGCACAATTACATTTCCAAAGTTTATTCCTTCAGCCATAGATGCTTTTTTTCCTCTGCGCCTGTATGATTATGTGCCTATAAAACACAAATTAGCATAAAGATACTCTACTCTCTCAGTTGAAGTACTTTTACTATTTAAGAAAAAAAAGAGTACTTATTTTTCTTCTTTTTACCCTATAATCTACCTTATATAAACATTGTTAAGCAAAATCTTATAGAATAGAGTGGACCAGGTAAAGGAAATTGGCACTATTACAATGCATTTTTTTATGTTTTAGTTGTCTGTATATTTATTCAACTTTTAAGTAAAGCTGTTTAGGAAGATTTTTATGATAGGTTTTCTTCTAATATGTTCAGCATATTTTATCTAAATCTACATATTTCTGATGCTTATCAGCAACTAAAGTCTAAGAATTAATCTTTTTCTGATAGAAGGAGTTTGGTTAATGTTCTTTAAAATATACTATCAAGAGTTTTCAAGTACTTTCTATAAATGGATTTCTAAAAGAGATTCCACATGCTGATTATGAATTATTTTTGTTTCTTCTTTAAATCAGTCCCCTAAAGAACAGTTTTCTTTGGCAACTTTTATTGAAGTAATTTCATGTATGAGAAAAAGAATGGATTGAAAACTAGCAAGAGACCAAATCAGGATGATCTGGGTAGAATTGACCTAGCCCTTCCTTCACTCTGCTATCTTCTCTATTGATAAATGAAGATTACCATAGCTCAGATTCATATATATTTTTCTCCAACCTAGGCTATATTCTAGGATGCAAGTCTTCAGGCTGTCTATAATGCTTTATTGTTTATTGATTATGTGTCATTCTTAGTAAATAACTAAACAGTGATCTGTAGGCAAGCAAAATATCCTATCATTTTAGAGTCATCTAAACATAACAACACATTAACTTGGTGAGTATAGGATGTATACAGGCTATTAGCATCTTTTAACAGAGACTTCATCTCGGGCGTTATAAAGAAAGCCATGATTTCCTCCAGTCTACATTCTCCTTTTGAGATTCTTATAAAAACCAATAATTCCTTTCCCAGAGATGGCTACTTCTATGATACAAAGCAGAGTTCCATATGAACTTCAGGGGGTTATAATTCTACATATATTTTTTTTCATATATAGATATATATATGAAAAATACTGATCCAATACAATATTTGCTTAGCTGATTTGGAACCATTATTTTAAAACTCAAGATTTACATTGCACTGTTAGTTTTCAAGAGACAATTTTATAGTTGCCCATTTTAAAAAGCAGCAGTAATGTCTTATGGGTTTTGCTCCAAGAACTGAAGGTAGTTATCTTATGCAGACCATAAGAACATCATTCTGATTGACTGATACACACCATGTCATTAAACATTGAGCCAGCTCTATATCTGGAGCATTTCTTTTTTGGTATTTTTTTTATTGTAAAAATTCTGTAGAGAAGGGTTACAGTTACATGAGCAAGATAATAAGCACATTTACTGTTGAACATTGTTGCCTCCTCCTTTGTTTTCCCCCTACCATAAGTGAAGTAAGCCAGGCCCAAAGGAACATAGATCCCATGGTTTCCCTTATTTGCAATAACTAGTACATGTGTAGGATGAGCAGAAAAGGCCAAAAGCTATGTACATATGACCATATAAGGATAATGTTAAGCGAAATGAACCCCAAGGTAGGGACACAAATATCTTTTTCTTGCTTGCTATTGTTTCTAACGTATTTATATATGCCATGTGATTTTTTTGTTGCTTTGTATGTTCCTCCCCCGTGATATAACCCCTGTTTTCACTGTATTTGATGTTGGTGCCCTGAATCTTGTATATACACTTCTCTAATTGAGGGAGGGGAAGGGAAAAAACAAAATGCTTAAATAAGTAGGTGGGAGGGAAGGGATGGAGCATTTCAAGTGAAGATTAGTTTTGCTTTCTTAAAAAAAACAAAAGTTTTAAGTATCAACTCTGCTTTCTCCATTCAGAGCCAAGTATGCACTGTATCATCATCATCATCATCATCATCATCATCATTGTCATCATTATCATCATTTTGGTGGTACTAAGATTTGAACTCAGGTCTTTGTGTTTGCTAGGCACATACTCTATCACTTGAGCCATCCCCAAACCATATCCCCAACTCTTTCTTGCTCTAGTTGTTTTTGAGATACAGTCTCACTTTTTCCCTGGACCACAGTCCTCCTAATTATTCTTCGTGCCATAGGTAGGATTGCAGGTACACTCAACCTTTGTTGCTCTTTTTCCCCTGTATAGTCTCTCTTGCATTTGTGTGTTAAACCATTTGTGCATAGTCCTTTATAATAAATCTAAGATTTTTGTGCAGTAAGGAATAATGAAATATATGTGAAATACTGTGATATGCGTTTCTATTAAAATCAACTGTTTTAACTGGCTTCCAATTGTCTACTACAACATTGTATACACAAATTGATGTCTTAGCATTTGGCTATCACTGATGGACAAATCAATGGCAAGTAACTTACTGATGATTTTTAACAGTTTGTTTTCTTCTGAGAAGGGAGGGACAGAGTTCATGCATGGCTGCTAGCATTCTGACCACGAGCTTGGGTTGGGCTGGTCAAGGATTGAGAAAGGGGAACATGTTTCTCAGTTAAATATATACATTTCCCCTTCCTTTTTCCAAGCACATGCACTGGTTGTACTCAACACTCTGAATAGGTCTGCTTCATTTAATTTCATTATCTATTTTGATTCCAGTCCCATTTTTGTATATTCATTGCCAAGACACAGAGTCTAATCTCTAGAAATATTTCTCCAACAGAGAAGAAAACAAAGTACAGTACCCATTTTAATGAAACCACTGATGTGGGGCAAAGGTAGTATTTCGTTTGTCCCTTGAATGTTTTATGTCTGCTGTCTACTAGGTGCAGTATTGGAATCATGGAGGAGAAGAAGAATCATCCAGCAAGATAAAAGTGACAGGAAACGAGACATCAGCCAGGCTCAGGGGCCTGAAGAGCAATCTGGCATACTACACAGCTGTCCGGGCTTACAACAGTGCCGGGGCCGGCCCCTTCAGTGACACAGTTAATGCAACCACCAAGAAAACTCGTATGTACATTTCCCGTTGTTTTGAATGTTGAAGAAAAAAGGCCTATATTTTAAATGGACAACTAAACTCATCAGTTGCATGGAATGATACAAACGTAGCACCACACTTAAACCTAGAGCCCTATGTATCAATCTCTAGGATTGCCCTAAATCTTTTGTCTTAAGTAGAGCCTTCCATGCGAAGATGAATGACTCCTTTGAAAAAAATCTCAACATGTAGTCTTTTTTCAAACTGTGAATAACTTAATTTCATGGGTTTCATTTCATCTATTATTAGTTCCCCAAAGTTTGGAGGTTATTGATAAGCATCAATAAGTGAACGTTAATACCAAAAAATATAGAGTGTTTTTTTCTGTTTTCTTTCTCTTCTCACACTATTCAAAAGATAGCAATACATTAAAAGTTGATTATCAAAAGCTATTGTCCACATGAATATAATGATACTTTAAAATATGAACTTGAGAAGTCAATGTTACCTACAAAGTCTCTTGAGTATTTATTATATCTATAGTTGGCAAGTAAATCCATCAGCTATAAGGAGAAGTTAGTGAGCGTACAAAATAATCAGTGATAGGTATGAGTGCCCTGAAAATATTTTAGTTTAATTGATAGCATGGATATACATGGATATACATAGTTACTGTATTGTAATGCTGCGTTCCAACAATGTAAGCCTTTGAGTTTTGTCATTGTTTTCTTCATAGCTAATGGTAATTCACAGTATTTCATGTCACAAGTACTCTGTGCTCATTCCCTCCCAGTTTCCATTGCAAAAGTGAGGGGGAAATGAGGCATGAAGAGATTAGGTAACTTTAGCACATTGACATTCAAGGTTGCTGATGATTATTTTCTTCAATCATTTTCAAAATTTACTTCAGTAAATATCTTGATTAACTTTGTGTAGGAATAGACTACCATTATGCTTGATTTTTTTTTTTTTTGGTTGGTCGTGAGGCCTGAACTCTGGGCCTGGGCACTGTCCCTCAGCTTTTCAGCTCAAGGCTAGCACTGTACCACTTGAGCCACAGCACTACCTCCAGCGTTTTCTGTTTATGTGGTGCGGAATTGAACACATGGTCTCATGCATGCAAGGCAAGCACTCTATGGCTGAGCCACCTTCCCAGCCCCTATGCTCGATTTTTAATCACATTAATGCATTTATGCATGCGTGTATCATGTCCAAATTTATGTGAAAGCCTATGATTAGTGGCTGAAAGTGCAATGAACTCCAATATTAGAAAACAGAATCTGATGGGACTTTGCTATTATTGATAGTTTAAAACATAGGTAAAAGCCTACTGCTTGAGATGTTAGCCGGTGCTAATTATTTGGGAATTTTGTGTTTATCTCTGCATTAAATACAGAAAAAAAGTGTGGCTAATAATTTGTTAGTACAATGAGCTTTGCCAAGCAATAGTTGAGCAGCGAAACACTTTAATCCCTTAGAATCATCCATTTGTAAGCAACCTAGTAGTATAGGGATTTAACATTATCTTTACCTAATTATTATGGGAAGTCTGATCCAAACTGTTATGCACAGCATATAGTTGCTGTTAGATCATGGAGTATATTGATTTGGAATCACATAAATGTTTTGTATTTATAATTTTCCCTAAATGTAATTTGATCTCCTAGGAGTAAATTTGAGTTATAAAAGCTTAAATATGTATCATTATTTATAAATTCAAAGCATAGCCTTAGTGGAAGATTTTAATTACAAAACATACACACATATACACACACACATTCACAGGCACACGCTCCATTCACACACACACACGCGCGCGCGCACGCGCATTCACACACATACATGCAAACACGATGCTGGTGGCTCACAGCCATAATCCAAGCTCCTCAGAAAGCAGAGATCTGAGGATCTTGGTTCAAGGCCAGCTCGAGCAGGAAAGTCTGTGACACCTACCTCCAATAAAGTGCTAAAAAAGCCAGAAGTAGAGCTGTGGCTCAAGTGATAGAATACTAGCGCTGAGGTAAAAGAAGCTCAAGGATAGTGCTCAGGCCCAGAATTCAAGCCCCAGAAATGGTGCCCCAAAAAAGCAAAGAAAGTTGTCCATTTACTCTGAGTCAACAATCAATGTAATTACTATACACTAGGAACCACGGCTGTAATAGACAGCAAGACAGCGTGGCGGCCTCAGTGAAGAGCTTAGTGAATTGGGAAGACGTGAGGGAGCAACTGATTATAGGACTGTAGGGATACAATAATAACATGCAATGAACGGCATAAGATTTCAAAAAGAAGCAAAACTCTTTTATAATTTAGTCTAAAGTAGAAATTTGTGAATAACAATGATGATGGTAATTATGTTATTAATTGCTTGTTAGTGAACAATTTCCAGCCATGGTCCAAGCCCTTTTTATGTATTAATTCTTAATTCTCACAACACCACCATGGCTGAAAGTTATTAGCATCTTCATTTTAGAGATGAAAAGTCTGAAGCCCATGAAGATGATAGAACTTCACAGAGATGTCAAAGCCAGTAACATTGAAGTCATCCAAAACAGGCATCATTTTAACCACGGTCATCTTCTCCTGAAACCACATAAACAGAATATTCACAGTTTATTTAATACCAGTATTTCTTGTAATTTGCTCTGTGCTTAGGGACTAATTAAGGTGTGCAAAGCTAGACAGGGGCTATAATCTGGTAAAAATTTCAACAACTACAGTACATAAATTCATACTCTTCTCATGCTATTCATCTAGATTCTGCACATTAGTCTGTAAGTCTTAAGGAAAAGTTTTCTACAGTGAGTGGGAACTTCACATAGATCATTAAAATGCCTTGTCATCTTAAAATTGTCTAGAAAGACCATGTGCTAATTTTTAAATTGTTAGGTTAATATTTTTTCAAATATATATAAAACAAAGTAAAATGGAAGATTTCAAAGCTATTTATAAAAATCATTATAAGTGGCTTTTAATAGTCATCCTCACCTTTGATGATGCTATGTTGAAAAACAAACGTTACAATTTAGGCAGGGGTGGGGGAATGTAGTTGTGGAGATCAGAGGGAAGAGATGGTAAGGGGAAAACAAAGGAGGCAACAATGCTTGATAAGAACTGTACTCATTACCTTGCTCATGTGATTATAGCCCCTCTGTAAAGTATTTTCACAGAAAAATCTTATTGAAGAAATACAAAATAAAAAAGATACAAAGACAAAAGAAGAGTTTTTGTAGGGTTCTTGTGATTATCATTTCAACAGAATTATCTGTATGCCTAGGACGTGAAGAACCAAGATAATGTTTTTGGTTATTGCTACCTGTTTTAACCTCTGGTTTGTGAACTTTACTCAGGTAAAGGCCTTTCCGCCGTTTTTTGGCCCAGCCCAATCCCAACATATAACAACCACTCAATAAATGTTTAATGAATGACTGAATGGATAAATTAAACCTAAAAAAAAATGCCAGCCTGAAGAACTATTAATCAGCTGTACTTTCTCTTGACTGCACATTGTGAATTCAAAATTCATGCTGCAATCTTTGACCATCTTGCTGAAAATGTATGATTCACATCTTCATAATTAGAAGATTTATGCAAAGCCTCATATCAGTACTGACTGGAGGTGGTTATTTGTGTTTAAATATAAAATAACCCAAAGATTCTCAGTCAGGTACTGTAGTTTCCATGATACACTTATTTTTTTAATATCCCAATACATTCACTTCCTAAAAGCAATTTTCAGTTAACAGTAATCAAAGATGGGTTTCTGTCAGATAGCTAATCCATAACAATATCATACATCTAATTTGCCTGATGAAGATTGTCTGCCAATTATGAAATCTGCTGATATCTAAAAGGAAATGTATTAATGATTTTGCATCAGAGTTTTCCAGAAGACTCTGAATTCTATTTTGTATATCTAAAAATTCAAATGGCAGTTTTGGGTCTCACTAAGGCTGAAACCAAGCATAAAAATAATATCATCATTATTGAATAACACAAACTCAACGCCAAATGAGAAGTTCTGGTTTTTGTTGTTTGCTGTTTGTATATGTGGTGTGTGTGTGTGTGTGTGTGTGTGTGTGTGTGTGTGTGCGCGCGCGCATGTGTATGCTTACACTGGGGCTTGAATGCAGGCATTTTGCTCAAGGTCTGTGCTCTATCACTTTAGCCACACCTCCACTCCTGGCCGTCACATCTGTTTGTGGTTAATTGGATATAAGAGTCTCATGGTTTCTTATTTGAGCTGGCTTTGAGCCTTGATCCTCCAATCTCAGCCTCCTGAGTAGCTAGCATTAGTGGACTGAGCCACCGGATCCCAACTTTAAACTGACCGTTTCTTAAATTAAGTTCTTTTTTTTAAATTTAATTTAATTTTTTTGTGAACATACTGTACAGAGGGGTTACAATTACATGGGCAGGATAATGCGTACATTTCTTACCAAGCATTGCAGCCTCCTCCTTTGTTTACCCTTCACATCCCTTCCCAGCCTCCCCCCCCCCCCCCACTCAATCCCTCCCCCCCAGCCCCCACACTAACGTTGTAAAGCTCGTTTTCGACATGACAACTTGTACTTCTCATTGTTGCAACAGGTCCACCTGTATCCTTAAACGACTTGTTTTTCCCCATCTCCTCCACAAGTTATACTGACATCAAATATAGTGAAAGCAGGGGTTATACTGTGGGGGAGGGACATACAAAGCAACAAAGAGATAATCTTATAAATGCGTTAGAAACAAATGCATGGAAGAAAAAAACATTAGAATACATATCTAAAGGTTCATTTTCCTGACATCACATTATCTGACCTTTTTTGCTTGACTCATACATATACTAGATATTGCAAATAAGGGAAACCATGGGACCTATGATTCTTTGGGCCTGGCTTACTTCACTTAATATAATTTTCTCCAAGTTTTTCCATTTCCTAACAAATGGGGCAATGTCATTCTTTCTGATGGAGGCATAGAATTCTGAAATAGAAGAGGCAATCCAAAAATTCATATGGAACAATAAAAGACCCTGAATAGCAAA